GTACACGACATAGTATGTAGTATCAACTAACAACAGCAAGTCAGACATTGTATGTTAGGTACTCAACTAACAACAGCGGGTACAGACATTGTATGTTAGGTACTCAACTAACAACAGCGGGTACAGACATTGTATGTTAGGTACTCAACTAACAACAGCAGGTACAGACATTGTATGTTAAGTACTCAACTAACAACAGCAAGTACAAACATTGTATGTTAGGTACTCAACTAACCCAAGTAAAACCATATACTAGTTAAGAGATATATAAAGTCTTATGGTGATTAAACTTTTACCTTTGTAGGACTAGGATTCTGTTTTTATAAATTGTAAAATAAAGTATTTCTAAAATTAGCTTGTGACTGTATCTAATGTCTAACACAAGTTGTAATGAACTGATGTTGTTTTATCACGGTATTAATCATGTGGTTCAATGTTGTTGTTTTCCAGATAGTGAAGAGGCAAAAGCCAAAGCTTTACAAACTGCTGAAGAAGCTTACAAAGCTCACCAATCAAAGGTGAGATGTGTAATGTGGTTAACATTTCATATAGTTATTGAGATAAGGATCTATTTAAATTATTGTGAGCCAAATTATTAGTTTCACTTATTGTGTTCTAACACTGAACATCAGACAACTTTATAACTAGACTTTTATTTTAAATTTCATAAACTAACAAAGGATGAAATCTTTTTTAAGATGTACAAAATTTCTTGAAAAGAGACTGCCATTGTGGAGTTTAAGTCAGAGGTTTGTCAAATCGGTTCTTTTATCTACTTGATTGATAAGTTCAGGTATTGAATGACAGTCGTTCCAAGTTATGAGGTGTGACAGACAAAAAGAAAATCTGTGGTTTAAAGTTTGTTAGTCGGACTAATATAAAGAAAAATGGTATTTCGTTCACCTAGATCTTTTGTGGTTTTGCAAAAGTTTTTTATATCTTGACCTTTAGTTTTAGCACTACATAACTTTACAGGTAGACCAGTGTGGTACTTCACTACATTTTGTAATAGTTGTTTAATTTTTGTGGTTCAAAGCAAATACAGTATGATGACATACAACAAAGTGGTTTTTGTTTCAGTAATTCTAACACCAAAAGAAGAAAAGAAAAACAAAATTCTAGTATATTATATGTAAATAGGTGACAGAGTGCAAGAGTTAAATGGATAAAGGATACATAAATATATTTATTTCATTAAAATAAACTTTTTAAAACTTAAATTTTGTGTCACTTGGGTTTTTCATCATTTTTAGAATAAGTATGAATACTTTTCGTTTCTTATCATTGTCATCTTTAGCTTATTACATAAGTCTGGTCTGATGTTTTACCCGATGTGCAGATCAGTGTATAATTACTTAAAGTCTGACTTTTAATGACTTATTATTGTTGTATGAATAAACCAACAGTTTTCTATTTAAATGATCCAACAAGCAGTAGTACTCTACTTTTGACTTGTGTACAGAGATCAGTGTGGGTAAGAAATTTTATTAATTGTGTTTGAAGAATTATAATTGTCAATATGAATCAAACATTTCAAAACCTGAATGTTGTTTTAAAGTTAGGTGTAAGAAATTCAAGCAGTGTCTACCTGATATCCTTTCTTTGTTACTTCTTTTCAGAATTTGACATATTTGTTTTCTTTTCTAGACAAAAGCATTTGACAGTGAAATTCTCCAGGTACTAAAGAATGATACTGGAGACTGTAAGTACTAGTTCATACCACATTTGATTCTATTAGTTTTTCTTGTTGCTGAACTAAAAAAAATCTTGAATAGTTAGTATTACAGTTAGAATCAATTTGTGTGGAGAGTGTAAAACTAAGTTCTTTTTTCTTCTTCAGTAAACAAAAATTTTCGATTAACCAACCCAAGCCTCAGCACAGACAGTGACCTTCCACAGCCTCGAATGTTTGTTGGAAAACTTAAATCATATCAATTAAAGGTAAGCAGCAGTTTTCTCTTCTTTCCTCTTCCAGATTCTGGGTCTTATAATAATAATAATAAAAAGTTTCTTACTGTGAGTAATACGTTTTTAGTTCATTAAACTTTATTGTAAAATATCTGATCTTACCTTTTATTTTATGGTTAAGAAAACAACAATTTCCAATAGTGTAATTTAAGATACTAGAGGGACTAGAAGGCTTTTGTCTTGAAGTAGTAATGTTCACTATGATTAAAAATCATTTGATATCAAAGTAAGTTAAAAAGTATTAAGGGAATAAACATTGATATATTTTATTAGCAAGGTGAAATCTTTTTGTCTTAATATTTCTTAGGAAAGCCAATGAACTAAATCTTAACTATCAGCTTACCTTACATTTATCATGGGATGTATTTAATATATTCATCATTGGGTTAATAAGTTTTGCTTTCTAGGTGTAATGAATTATTTTACATTATTTTTAGTGTTGAGAAGTAAGCAAACTGTATAGATCAGAAGTGAAATGTAACTTGTAATTTAATAATGCTAATTCTCTTAACAAACTGACAAAAAGTTACTGTCGTAAATCAGAACACAGGGGAGACAAAGAATTTAAAAGAATAGAATGCACTGAATCATCTGTTGAGTATCCTTTATTAATATTTCAGCTTTACTGACGATAGTATATAGTTTCTGTAATTAGAGTTTACAAGTTGTTTGATTCTTCTAGGGAATGAACTGGCTTCATAATCTGTATGATAAAGGAATTAATGGTATCCTTGCTGATGAAATGGGATTGGGCAAGACTGTTCAGACTATAGCTCTGTTGGCCACATTGGCCGAGGTAAGATTTTAAATTTTCAGTGTGTGGGAACGGTAGAGAATATTATAAATTTGTAACATGTGGACATAATTATAAACTTTATGGTTTTACACTCATCTTGTCATGATTTAAGGTTTCCTTCAGAGCTAACTATTACTGATGTACACCAACAGATGGCAACACTGTATGAATATTTAATATTGCCATTAGTCTGATCCAGTGTAAAAGTGGAGCCAATGTAGATTACTATCCCTTTTACATTGATAAGCTCTCATGTGACATGCATGTAACTAATTCTTACAATTAGAACTCCTATGTTGCTATGAATGTTTCTCAACAATTGGTCAAGCTGATATTTAGGAATGGATATAAGCCAATCATAATATCCAAGGCTCAAGCTAATATCTAGGAATGCATACAAGCCAATCATAGCTTGCATGGAAACAAAACTAGTAACAATAAAAATTGATTGCTGCTAATAAACAACACGGACAGATTACTAATCCTCAAATTTATTAGTGACCTATAGAGAATTGTTTAATAATATGTAGTATTCTTGATTTCATAACAATATGATCTGTATTATGTGAAGTATCCATTCTGTGAATTTATACAAGTTTGGGTTGTTTTATAGATTTAACTTTGTTGTTTCTGTTGTTCATTATGATAGATGTACATTACACGCAAATTAAATATTATACAGAAAAGATAAATTATGGTATTGGAACTGAATTCTTATTCAAAATGTTCTTAGCTGAGTATGTTAAAAATAAATGAAGCAAAAATATAACTTGAATTATATTCTGATGTTTAGTTCAGTCATGTGTGAAACTTACACAACTTCGCTATCACAGAAAATTTGTCCAGACACTTGTGAATATAATAATCCAATATTTTGAAATGAACCTTATATATTCAAAACACTTCAAGTGAAAAAAGATAGCATAAAACACACTGCACATGAAAAGTATTGCCTGGTAAGCCATTATGTGACACAGTTTGTTACTGTGTTCATACATGCCCCTTACAAAATTTAGAGTGCTCGTAGAATAAAAATTACCAGTTTTTTATTATTGTGTGTGTGTGTATATATATATATATATAATTACGTACATAAAAAATGCCAACTCTTGTCTGCATAGTGAGATCACTGTGATTTGTGATATTGGTTTCATTTGACATATTACGAGACAGCTATCACCCCTATGACGGAGTTCTAATTGGAAATGTCCCATTTTTTACACCAACAGGTCATGTAACAGACAAGTTACAGCTACATTATCTAATTAGTAGTGAACCACTGGAAACCAACATGATTATAAATAAACGGGAATAAATGAGGTCTAATAAAACTTGGCAAATAACAAATAATTAAAATTACATAAAACATGGCAACTCATTTACAACTATGATTTCAAAATGCAGGAATATTCATAACTATGGAATGAGCTGTTTTATAAAACTACCTTTACTAATCTTCAAACTAATATAACTTCTATTATACAGTAAACATTCTGTGAACTGAGAAACAAACCACTCATCTGTATGTCATCTGTCTGTGTACTTTCATTTTATAAAAACTGAAACTTTAATACATCTAATTTGTGTTGTACACTAGTTTCTGTGGGGATTTTAGTAGTGACAATATTTGGAAGGTAGTTTCAACATATGTGAACTGAAGATAGATAATATAAAACTATAAATATGTGTAAAATCTTTACACATAAATGTTTTGTATGATCATGTTTAAAAAATCAAACTTTTTTACATTTATAGTTATTATACGTCACAATTTGCAAGATTTTTTTAATTTTTTGACTGTGAACTGAAAAATAAATAATCATGTACCAAAGCATTTCTGCCTGATTTCAAATTGATGTGTAAAGCCTGACACTTAATTAATTAATATGTCTATTAAAAAAAAAGCATTTAATAAGGCCACCATAGGCGGGACTAAGAAACCTACATTAGTTTTAAGCTGCTATGACAGCCTTAATTGGGTATTTTTGTGAAATGCTCATGATAAGTTTTAAAATTAATGAAATGTGATAAATACATGTGGAAATGTTTATCATGTGCAGGACTTTTGCAACAACAATGAAAGAGAAAATGTGTTTATTCTACACAAATATTACAGTAATTACCTACATGGATGTGTTCAGAGTAAGTGCGGGATACTCTGACCCTCATGTAGTAATTAAATTAATATTCTTTAAAAACCAGCTAACAGAGAGGAGAAATAGGTCAAATGTACCTGATCCTCCCAGATCTATTAGACCTAAATACCGATATAGAGAAAAGTGAAAGCACGATTGCCATAACAACAGGGGCTTCATGCTTCTCGCCTAACAGTCAAAGGAATGCTCCAAGAGACAACTACAAACTTCTCTTATTTAGAAGTTCCATGTGGTAAATAGTTTCCAGGAAAAGCTTGGCTGACCTCACAAAGGAATGCTCCAGGAGACAACTACAAACTTCTCTTATTTAGAAGTTCCATGTGGTAAATAGTTTCCAGGAAAAGCTTGGCTGACCTCACAAAGGAATGCTCCAGGAGACAACTACAAACTTCTCTTATTTAGAAGTTCCATGTGGTAAATAGTTTCCAGGAAAAGCTCGGCTGACCTCACAAAGGAATGCTCCAGGAGACAACTACAAACTTCTCTTATTTAGAAGTTCCATGTGGTAAATAGTTTCCAGGAAAAGCTCAGCTGATCTCACAAAGGAATGCTCCAGGAGACGACTACAAACTTCTCTTATTCAGAAGTTCCATGTGGTAAACAGTTTCCAGGAAAAGCTCGGCTGACCTCACAAAGACTAGTCAAGTTCGAAAGTTTCAATTTTATGTGATTATTTCTAAATAAAACTATTATTGATAATAATACAATGAAATAACTGGAGGATATTGAAAGCATTTATTAACTATTTTTGTAATGTATTTTCTAATAGTCTTTGTAAAAACTATCAGAATAAACAACATAATCATGTGTTTTCTGAAGTAGATGTAATATTGTAAACTCCAATAAAATGAAAAGGCAAAATATTTGGGAAAACAGCAATTATTCGTAACATAAAGGATGGTCCTTAATATAAATACATAAAAGATAACTTGTTTGAAAACACACACACCCCCACAATAACAAAAGGAAAACACAACATCAATGATCCCTTTATCTCAAACACAACGTAACAAATATAGAGTTGTAGGTTCAAAAAAACCTTCTAGAAAGTTGTTTATATTTCTTTTTTTTTCTTCACTTCCACCTTTCTTTTGGCCTTAAGAACATAGTTTGGTAAAACCATTCTTCTTGTCATTCTTGGATTTATTATTTCTGGCAATAGTATATGAAAATAAAAACCATCCAGTTTAGGGAGCATCCTTTCAATCCAAAAATTGTCATCTCAAGTGATTTGTTCAATACTTATGTCAAGAGGTGTCTAGATAATATCAAACACAAACATTTTTACCAGTTATATGATGTTGACCCTGTACCTGGTAATAATATATATGTGTATCTTTTAGTTTCAAAGTATTATCAAGTGAAGTACAACAGAAATCTTTAATTGACAATGCATCTTAAAGGAATCATTCCTTTAAGTTTCAGTGGGCACTTGGCTTCAGCAATACCATCAGACCCTACAATGGCATCTGGAGAGGCTGCTAAAGTATTTTTTCTCTGCATCCACAGATAGGCCACACTCCTGTACTTGGTTTCCAGTTTTAGTGGAGTAATCAAGCAGGGCATATCTTTTGTTGCTTTCACCATAATTTATTGCAGGTGTAAAGAAAAAAGAACTGTATAAGATTTGGAGACGCATGATGTGGTATCTCTCATCTTGAAAATATCTCCAAAAGAGAATCTGTGATACATTGTTTCCTTTCTGTCCTCCATAAAGAGTTGTACTGACCTTCTTTTTTTTCTTTTTTTTCAATTTGTAACTTGTAGTTATTTTCAACAAATCACTTTTCAGTTCTAGGAACTCTAACTCAGGCCCATAATCTTTCTTTCCAATTTTATTCACACATAGAAGTTTCTTGGGTTTTTAGTAATTCTCGTTTGCCTCAGGAGCTAAAAGTATTTTCTTATGTTTTTCATTTCTTCCACAGAATTACTGTTTTGCTTGTGCATTATGCCAAATATTTCTACAAGATTGACGAGCACATTCTTTTAACCTCAATATTTTGTCTTTGTCCAAGTGTTTGCAGTTTTCTGCATTTTCCCTTCTTTTGTGAATAAAGTTTTTGTGTACAGTCTTACAGCATGATCAGCACATTCCATTTTTTTCCACATTTCTGCCATAAGAAACACACTCCATAAATTTTATGTAGAGATGAACTGCCATCCCCAATCATTTTCTTATACTGGAGCTTATGCATCTATTCTTATCTTTGAAATCCTTCTACAACTATATCAAACTCCATCCCACTAGAGGACTTGTTCTAGTTTCTGTAACAAATATGCTCAATCTCTTTCTTTGCTGCAGCTGTACATACACAACAAAATTTACTTATTACACTCAAGACCAATGGTTTTTTTGTTCTTTAACCAACAATAACTGCTACTCCTAAGTTGGGTGTGTACCTGTGTCTGTAGCTTCTTTTACATTACTACATTACATTACATACATTACTACAGTAATATATCTGTTTGTCCTTTAACCAATAATAACCGCTACTGCTAAGTTGGGTGTGTACCTGTGTCTGTAGCTTCTTTTACATTACATACATTACTACAGTAATATATCTGTTTGTCCTTTAACCAATAATAACCGCTACTGCTAAGTTGGGTGTGTACCTGTGTCTGTCGTTTCTCTTACTCCATCAACAGTTACAGTAATGTATCTGTTTGTCCTTTAACCAATAATAACCGCTACTGCTAAGTTGGGTGTGTACCTGTGTCTGTCGCTTCTCTTACTCCATCAACAGTTACAGTAATATATCTGTCCATTGACCAATAATAACTGGTACTCCTAAGTTGGGTGTGTACCTGTCTGTCGCTTCTCTTACTCCATCAACAGTTACAGTAGTATATCACTCTTTCATATTTAAAAATAGCGGGTGAGTAATTTTTTCCTCACCAGAAAATAGTATGGTGAGTGGTTTTTACTACTCACCTGAAAAATAATATGGTGAGTGGTTTTTATCATTCAATGAAAAATGTTTTTCGGGTCAGTGTATCATAATGTAGTGAATAAAACAAATAGTAAATTCAAAAAACTTTTTTCTTTATTTAACTTAAAAATTTGTGTATGTGTTATCTTCATAAAAGTTGCATAGTATTTAGTAAATCCTCACCAAATTATCGTTGTCATCATCTGAGAATAAATTAGTATCTTGAGAACTCTCAGAATATAATTCGTCAGTACGTGTATCTTCATCATCAGAGTCCTTGCTTTACCTTTGAGGTTTTGGTATCTTGACTGTCTAGTGTCAGCTTTCCTTTAGTTGACATATACTTGGTTAATGCTGCTTCTATTATTTCATCCACCACTACATCTAATGCCCATGAATTCTGGTTTACTTTAATTGACTCTTTCAGCACGGGCTCGATCCTTGGGACCAACCTCTTAACCATTTCGTGCTTGTTATAGTTTTCATGCTATAACTTTTAAATTATTAAGTGAATGTTAACGAAAGTTGGCAGATTATCAGTAAACATTATAACGCTTTCATATGCAAAATATCAGATTTATTTTTTATTAAGGTTTAGGGTTTTTAAAACAATGTTTTTCTCATGTCTTTTTTTTTTTTTTGCTTGTTTCCC